AGTAGCAGTTCATAATAAATTTTCTAACTAACTTACACTAGGCCTATGGATTTACTCGCAGCAAAACATTTTGGACTTGGATTCTCTGCCCTCCCATTTCGGTGCCCTCCCCGTGTCCTCCTGTTTTGTGTGGTCACGGTTAATACATGCTAACATTTTATATTGTTTTTTATAAAAATAATAAGACAAAAAAAATAGTAATATAAAATATTGACGTGGCTTAACCGTGACCACACAAACAAGAGGGCACGGGGAGGGCACCGAATTAGGAGGGCAGAGAATCCAAGTCCAAACATTTTCACCCTTAGACAGAGGCAATTTTGTTATTTTTTGAAAATTGAACCATAAGGGCTTCTTCCTTAATAATATTAGATGAATATAATATTTTTCATCTTCTAGTATAAATCGTGTGCATATTTTATGAAACCAAAAAGAAATCAAATAGTAATCTTCGAAAATTTGAACATACATGTAAAAAGTATTTTGAGCTACATTATTGCTAGCCCATTGTGAAACTAAACTCATTTCATCTCCTTAGTATATATAATATCATTTGTTAAAAAAAAATATTGGTATAAGGAATGCTAACTCATCTCAAGGTTAAGGACTTAAAGAGGGGGTCTTTGTCTTTTTTTATTTTTTTTAACAGATCGTTCATAAAAAATGATTGCCGACAATGAAATTCAAACCAAACGCTTGATCTAGCAAACAAAGCGATCACTATAAACCCCTAAAATTAGAACATTGTGTCCATAATAATCAATTGAAATTTAGAGAGCGGAAAATGCTACAGAGACTCACTCAAAAATTGAAATTTAAATAACAATTAAACTTAACATTTTCTCTGTCTTTGCTCTACCTACCCATAGGAAGTTCAGGAACGCAAAAGCAAAGTGCTTCTGAAAATTCCAGTCGTTCATGCCAACTCCGACCATGAAATTGGTAACCGTGGCTAAAAGTCGCAAACACACTATGAAAAACTTCCCTAAAGCCCAGATCTGAATCTTGTAACCGGACAAAAAAAAGTGAAGTTTGAATCGTAACAAAAAAGTTCATAATTTCCTTAACTTTGTCTTTTAGAATTCGATTTTTTTTATTGCATTGTGCTTCTTGAAATTTAAAAATTGTCATTTTACTCTATAAAACACAAAATCTGCCTTACATTGTCTTAATTATGTTAATTCTATTATGTGAAATGTTAATGCAAGGTGGAATTTATTTTATTTTCGTTTGATTTTGTTATTTTACTCTATGAAACTCGATTTTATTAAAAAAATTAACACATAATGTTGAATTATAATCTAATTCAATGACACATATAGCATAATCTTATTGAGGGGTGGGTCCCCTATATATTTCACAAGGTGACCATTGATTTTCAGGGAGAAAGAAAATTTAAAAGTTAAAATAGAACAAATTTTGAATTTTAAAGAGAAAGAGATGATTTTTAAGTTATACAGAACAACACAAGATCAAAATATAGGGAACTTTAACAAAAAGCATCCGGTACTGTTCACTTTAACGAAAAATCATATTTTTACACTAAAAAATCAATCATGGTACTATTTATTTTACCCTTTATTTTGTCCTTATCATTAAAACTCAAAGTTTTCAAATCTTTTTCATTAGTTTCCTCAAAATTTAAGGTAGGTGCGCGTTTGTTCAACATTTTGCTTTTTCTTTACCATTTCTTGGAAGTCGATTTGGAATCATGAAAATAAAAAAGGCCAAAAGTCAGTTGCGCGTTATTTCAACCTTTTGTATTCTCTGCACCTTTCAACACGCTTTCATTTACTTTACTCGGCCTTGCATTGACGCGGATTGCAGGACGTTTCCAAGAAACGATACGGTAGAATCATTGAAGGCTTTAGCTTTCCTTTTCTATGGATGTATCTTTGCTCAACATCTTCAAGTGATACTACGGAGACTCGCTCATAAACCAGGTCTCCAAAAGGCACGGTGCTTTTCTCTCCAGAGCTTCCTTCCTTCCTCTGTGTCTTCCTCACCCCCACCCTTTCTCCTCCCCACTCTCTCCCCTCTCCGATGAAACCCAGAAGGCACTCTGCTTTTCTACACAGGAGGATCGGTGAAGAAGATGGAGAAGGAAGGATGAAGTTTCGAGGGACCCGTCTGCAGATGGAAAGACGGAGAGAGGATTTTTAGTTTTTTAATGATTTTAATAGTGGGGAAGTTGAAACACGTATTTTAATTCCATCTGAATTTGTGAGGATTTCAAAATTCACGTTCAATTTCTTTATTGTGAATCGTACAATCAGATATTATTTTAAATTTTTATTAAAATTAAATACGGACAGAAAGTCCTGCGAAATGACACGACAACTCTAACAAACGCACTAGAACTATTAAATATGTTTGATTATTATTTTCAAATTCTTGATTTTTATTTAATTTAACGTATATAGAGGGAAGGCTATCCCATTCCAAGTAAATGGCATATTACAAGTTTTTTTGACGATTTATAAAGGGGTATACTACAAGTTTTTCTGAAGATTTATAAAGGGGTATATTACAAGTTTCTTTGGAATTTTGCAGAGCATTCACCAATAAGGTGTTTTTTTTTTTTATCAAATGATAAATTTGTTAGATTAGAGAACCGACATAATTCGAATTCATACTATGATATATGAACAACACTTATCTTCACCACTGTTATAAAATCCACTTATTTCACTAAGAAAAGTTGTCGGATGCGAAATTCAAACTTGGATTTTGGTCTAATAAATGTAGTTGAATATACTTTCCCTTAACACCCAATTTTATGCATATTCTTTGAAAATGCAAGAAAATTCTACTAGTCTTTTCACAAGAAATTCCCAACGTTATCATTTACCGTCAACCCATTATTCACGCAATTGAGTTTAATTGCGTGTTTGTTCAACATTTTGTTTTTTCTTTACCATTTCTCCGAAGCGCTCTGGAATCATGAAAAGAGAGAAAAGGCCAAATGGTAGTTGCGTGCTATTTCAACTTTTTTGTATTCTCTGCACCTTTCAACACGCGTTCATTTATTACGATTGGGTGATATTACTCTACATTCTAAATATTTATTTAATTTAAACTATAGAGAGGGAGGCTACCGCATATTACAAGTTTTTTTTAGGACTTGCAGATGGAGTTTTAGCATATATTTTGAATTTTACAGATCGTTCAACAAGAATAATTGTAAGTTGCAATATTCGAACTTAGATATTGATCTAAAGAAGAAAACAATCATTATCAACTTTCAAAATTAGAATAACGCGTCTATAATAGTTAATTGAAATTTATAAAATTATCTACATAAAATGAGGGTAGCAGAGATGAAAATGCTTTATTGGATGTGTAGGCACACGAGAAATGATAAGATTAGGAATGATGATATTCAATGTAAAGTATGAGTAGTCGAAATTAAAGAAAAAATGAGAGAAAATCAGTTACGGTGATTTGGACATATGAAACGGAGATCTATTGATACTCCAGTTAGAATATGCGATTATGAAATAGAGTTTTAGGGCCAAAGGGGTAGATGAAGAGACTATAAAAAAATACTTAAAGTACTTGAATCTAACGGAAGACATAATACAGAATCGAGCATAATTCGTATAGCCGATCTCATTTAGTAAGAAATTTTTTTATGGGTAAATTACATAGTAGCCCATCAAGTTTGAGGTCTATTACAACCCCATACAACATTTTTAAAACATTTCACTTTCATACCTCACTTTCTATTTTATTTCAAAATACATTTTTAAAACATTTCACTTTCATACCTCATGTTCTATTTTATTTCAAAATAATACATCCGTTACATTTTTCATCCATTGATCCGTTAAGTGCTGACGTGGCTGTCATATTTATGTCACATGGCTACCAAATGTGTGCCATGTGGCAAAAAAAAATAATTTAAAAAAACAAAAAAACCCTAATCTTCTAAATAAAAAAAAAAAAAAAAAGGTTAGAAAATCTAAATCTCATCACCCCACCCCTACCCCCATACCTGAGCCTTAAGGAAAGAAGAAGAACCAGGAACATGGAACCATGATCTTCTTCCATCCGTCGTGCGCATCCATCCTCCACCTCCTCCTCTGCACCCATCTCCACCTCCTTCGTGCACCCATCTTCCGCTCCCCCAACCCGAGCCTAACCTGCAACCCATAAAGAAGGAAGAAAAAATAAAATAAAATAAAATAAAAAACCCAGCGCACCCACCCTTCGCCTTAAATCCACTCATTGGGGAAGACGGGATCTGGGTTGCAGGGAAAGGGAGATGGGTTTTTATTTTTTTTCTTTTCTTTTCTAGGTTGCAGGTAGTGGGTGCAGAGGATAAGGTGGAGGATGGGTGTACTGTGGGTTTGGGGAAGACAGGAGGGGGAAGAAAGGGGTGGGTTGCAAGGAGGGGGGGTTGGGGAGGATGAAGATGCGTGTTTATTTATTTTTATTTTTATTTTTTGCCTCTTCTCTTCTTCTTCTTATGGGTTGCAAGTTGGGTGGATGGGGGTTGCAGGTTCAGCTTTTGTTTTTTATTTTTTTTGATTTTTTGTATTTTTTAGAAGATTTAGGTTTTTTAAAAAAAAAATTAAAAAAAAATTGCCACTTAGTACAAATGTGGCAGCCATGTTAGCACTTAACGGATCAGATGGAAAAAGTAATGGAGTTATTATTTTGAAATAAAATAAAATGTGAGGTATGAAAGTACAATATTTTAAAAATGTTGTATGAGGTTATAATAGATCTCAAATCTAAAGAATTATTATGTAATTTACCTTTTTTTTATTGTTATTCTTGTAGTTGCGTGTTACGTCAACTTTTTGTTTTCTCCCTACAATTTCTTCGAAGTTGCGAAATATAATGGAATCATAAACAAAGGAAAAAGACCAAGTCTTCGTTTACTTTGTTTAGGTCGCCCACGAGGGCCACTACCCCCTTTATTATTCTTATTATTGGTGCTGGTGGTTGTGGTTGTTGTCAGATCGCATTTCAAATGAATCTATACGTTTTCTTTTACTTTACTCAGACGTGTGCGTGGGCTCAGATTCCAAAGAAGTCTTTATCTGAACCCACGCATACCTAACCATTTCATACAATTTACCGTAAATTCTGTCCCTTTTTATACAATTTACTGTAAAATTCCCCGTGTCTCTTTCTTACCTCGTTCGTTTAGGTATATATAAACCTGTGCTAACAATATTATTCATCAGCCAAGAAGAGATTCCGTAAGAGAAAATAAAGTTTTGAGTCGTTTTATTCACTTAAATATGTCTGTGGCTTCAGTCGGCGTGGGTGCCCTGAGAACGGCATTTCAAATGCTGTTTGATGCGGTAAAATCAGTGCAGGAGGAGACTACTATGTTCAAGCACCTCCTCGGAGACATCAAATCCACACTGAACTCTCTGCAGCCACTCATCCAAGAGATTGAAAAATATAACTCGAAAGAGGGACTGGAATATTTTACAGTACAAATGGAGAAGGGAGCAGATCTTGTTCAAAAGTGCAGCAAAGTTGGCGTGTGGAAAAAATGCAAATACACCAAGAAGCTCCATCAACTGGAAAAATCTCTTCGAAGAGTGTTTGATGAACTCAAACTGCAGGGCGTAAGGGATGCGAGGGAGACGTTGGTTTCTCTCAGGAATATCGAGACGGCGTTCTCTCGAATAGAAAAGAATTTGGTGATGAAAAGTAATCAACCTGAAACGGTAAATGTTCGTATGCGGTGCCTGAACCCCCATCCGTTACAGTCGGGTTGGATTTGCCGTTGAGGGAGTTGAAGATGAAGCTCCTTAAGGATGAAAAGGTTTCGATGCTTGTGCTTACAGCTGCTGGAGGATGTGGGAAAACAACCTTGGCTAAAAAGTTTTGTCAAGATCAAGAAGTCAAAGGTATGCTATCAATGATTTCAATTTTTTTTTTTTGTGAAGTGTTAACTTCCTAGATAGTTAAAAAATTATGTAGATGATGCAATTTAGTATTACGGTATGGTGATATTTATTTTTATTGATAATTGATAGGTTTTAAATTAGATTCTTGTTACAGACGAATTTAAACTACATTATTGCTAACTTATTGTAAGGTTAAATCCATCAGTTTAGATTTTTCTAAAAAAGAAAAAACATATAGAGGATTAGACGAGCAAAAGTATGCACTATGGCCAAGACCCCTATAAAACGCCCGCTAGTCCCTCCAAGTATCCACACCAACCCAAATTTGTTCAAGAGAATACAATGTACAACGAAGGGGACATGAAACTAAACCATGCGAAAGCACAAAGCCGGTCCTTAAGGTAGTCTGTGCAGGTGCCGCCTAAGGCCCCACTTCGGAAGGATCCCTAAAAAATTTATATGTTGTGTAAATAACATATAAAGAAAAAGTAAAAAAATATCATAATTCATTTGTTGGTATAGTGAAAATATTCAGCTGCCTTTTTCTTTGTGGTGGGAATCGAAACATAGAGTTGCCGTTTTATGGTCACTAGTTTTTTCTTGTTTTTCAAATTTACTCACAATTCATTTGTCCAAATGCATATAAGGTATAAAACTCAAGTCACTATGCATCTTTTTTTTTTTTTTTTTTTTTTTTTTTTCAATTTCCCAATCTCTTCATTTCTATAGAATGTTTAAATCAACTATCACATAGTCTTGAAGATTGTACTTTAAGGTAATAAAAATTTTGAATTAATATTTTGGTTTTTAATAATTTATTATTCAATGAAGTATTTCAATATCCGATTCATTAGTATGATGTTGTAGAAAAAACAAAAGAGAAACAATTGACGTTGTTGAATTTATTATACTCGTCAATCAAGTTTTATTGTTCTTTACTCTCCTGATCATCAAGTTTTATTATTTTTCACTCTCAATCTTAAAACTTTTAGACTTCAAACATTTAGTACATTTGCGTTTAAAAATGTGAGACGTGTAATATTTAAATAATGTTTGTATATCTATTTTCTTTTGATATTAATTTTTAGGGGCTTTTAAATCCAGGTCCAAAAATATAGATGGTTGTTAGGAGTGAGTCCAGTTATCCAATTACATGCTTTTATTTTTTTTTATGCTCATTTTATATTTGCTAAAAATATTAAAAATCAATTAAAATCTTATAATATTATGTATTTTCCAACTCCAAAAAATCTAATTAATATCTTATAATGAAAAAAAACTAACATACTTAACATAAATCTATCTGGTAAACATTGTACCTGAACTCAAGTAACAAATATATGAAGAGTGTTGATATTCTCACCCGGTGTCTTATTTCCTCACCATTTAACAAAAATGTTAATGACATGTTTAACCTTTTTAACGAAGACTTTTAAACCTTATTTAATTAATTACTAAAATATTTAAAAAATTATAATATAAAATAATATATAAATAATCATGGGTGGGGTGTGATATCTGCAGTGGAGAGAGGCTGGGAAAGATTTGGGCTACAATGGGTATAAAGGTTGGGAGAAGGAATAGGTGTGTGCTAGATGGAGGCGAGAAACTTCAATGGAGTCTCTGCGGTGCGGTGATAGGTGTGAGTACTAGGGTTTGACTCGGGGGAAATGGAATATCGGTGAAAATAGAGGGTGGGGATCTGGAAAGAGATCCGGGTGGTATATTTGAGTGGGAAGAGATATTGCGAAAGCGATGCAATGATTTTAATGACATGCATGATTTGAAGGAGATGATGAATGTCCAAGTTTGCATTTTTTTTCTACTTCAGTTCTCCGTTTTTATTTATTTATTTAAATATTATTTAAAGATATATTAGAGTTATTTAAAACAAAACATATTAGGGTTATTTTGAGATTAATGGTGGGTGGGATTTACATTTTACTTTTTTAACTTTTTGTGATTGTGAGTGGGAAAATAGGACATTAGGGTGGGTCTAATAGGACACTGGGTGGGATTGTCATTTTTATGAATGTGTATTATACTCATAAGCGAGATATGAAATCTAACTAAAAGGTTAAAAAAATAATAATATACATAAAAGCAAGACATATTAATCTGTGACGGGCTGATTATAAAAAAGAATCTTTCATATAGGTGGATAAATATTATTAACCTGTGATATATGTTGGTTATAAAAATTAAAATTAAAATTTATAAATGGGGTTTAAAGTAGGAGGAAAAACAAGAAATAACAAAAAAATAATAAAAAGAAATAATCAAAGAGATAATTAGGAAGAAATTTGATTTTTATAATAAATCTCATCATTGACGAGATAATTATTAATAATTAATAATTAAATATAAGGAATTGGACTTATTTTAATAAATTGGACTAATATCAAGTTTTCCTTGACTTTTAATGATATTTGATGTGGAAATAATTTTTTTATGTATTTAGCGAATTTTTTTTTTGTACATATAAAAAATTGGGGGTCAAAGAACTTTAGGGTCCCACTTTGAAAGCTCGTCTAAGGCCCTCAAAATCTCAGGTCCAGCCCTGTGAAAACAAATTAAGAAAGTTCATAAATTCTTCTACATATAGCTTCATCTCAGGGCACAAATCTTGCAATGAGCTCTTGCTTGACTACTTAATTACTTGTTCTGAGAATTGCAGACATATCTAGTCAACCTTTTTATTAACCTCCGACATTCTGTTTGGATAGATACATTCAAGAACAATATCTTCTTTGTCAATGTGTCGAAAAAGCCCAACTTGGACCTTATTGTACATGAACTATATCAACTGAAGGGGTTTGAGCCGCCTGTTTTCCAAAACGAATTCATGGCAGTTAACTGGTTGCAACAATTTTTGAAGAAAGCAAGACACAATCCTCTGTTGTTTGTCCTGGATGACGTTTGGTCAGGATCAGAGTCCCTTCTTGATAAGTTTGATCAATTCAAGTTTTCAAATTACAAAATTTTGGTCACATCAAGATTTGCATTTCCGAGATTTGGTTCTCCATACCATTTGGCATTATTGAATGATGAGGATGCAATGGCTCTTTTTCACCATTCAGCATCCTCAGAGGATAAGAGCTCTTATACTTCCGAAGATCTTTCAAGAAAGGTGATTTCTTAGTCTGCAATACACATATATGCTTATTTATGCCTCAGAGAGTCAGAAGAGGGCAAAGAAATAACGTTGAGCGTCCACGCATGTCAACACATCCATTTACCGTCTTATAATAAGAATGAAAGAGTAGACAGTTAAACAATTTTATCATCTTTATTGAAACATTTAGATGATTTACAACAATTTAATCAAATAATAACTGAATTCATTCGGGATAATTAAATTGCAGATTATGAAGCGCTGTAAGGGATGGCCACTTGCCATTGCATTGGTCGGGAGGTCACTTCGCGGCCAGCCTTTAGAAATCTGGCAGAAAAGAGTACTGGAATGGAGCAAAGGTTCATCTATTCTTGATACTGACAAGGATTTGCTTGCTTGCCTCCAGAGCAGCTTAGATGCCTTGGATAAAGAAAAGACTATGATCATGGAATGTTTCCTCGATCTAGGTTCATTTCCCGAGGACCAAAGAATCGCTGCTGCCACCCTCATTGACATGTGGGCGGAGTTATATGGTCTAGAAGAAGAAATTCTGACCATTGCCAACCTTCATGGGCTCACCACCCGAAGTTTGGCAAACCTTGTTGTCACAAGGTATGCACCCTACTCATAATTTTCTATTCCATTATGTATACCAAACAAATCATAAAAGAAATTATTATTGATCATCCAGGCGTGAGAGGGAGGCGGACGGCTATTACACCGAAGACTTTGTCACCCAGCATCACATGCTTAGAGAGTTGGCGATCCATCAGGCGATTCAAGACCCAATAGAACAGAGGAAAAGGCTAGTTATAAACATATGTGGGGACAACCTTCCTAAGTGGTTGACAGAACAAAAGTATCAAGCGTCCAAGGCTCGACTATTATCTATCTCAACAGGTTCCATCAATCTCTATAGTAAATACGTCATTGTTATCTATATAGTAAATACTTATACGTGCACACAAGTATGTGTGCATGGACACGCTTGTGTGCACACACACTCGCTCATTCATATTAAGACCTCAATAGGACTTCAGAACATTTAATTTCAACCCACACTAACATCTTAAAGCTTATGGTTTGCAGATGGAGCCTTCTCAGCAAAATGGCCAAACATGCAAGTACCTGAAGCAGAGGTTCTAGTTTTGAATTTTCAAACAAAGAACTATGCCTTACCTCAGTTCGTGGAGAAAATGGATAAACTAAAGGTTCTAATAATCACAAATTACGGTTTGTCACCTGCTGGACTAGATAATTTTGAACTACTTGGTTCATTATCAAATCTTAAGAGAATTAGATTAGAACGTATTTCAATTCCCACCATAAGCAAGGTCCTCAAACCGTTGAAAAGTTTGCAAAAGATATCATTTTTCATGTGTGATATCGGTCAAGGTTTCAACAACTGTTCCATTTCAATCACATCAGCATTCCCGAATCTTGAAGAAATGAACATCGACTTTTGCAGTGATTTAATTGAATTGCCTTCCAAGCTTTGTGATCTTAGTAAACTAAAGAAGCTCAGTATTACTAACTGTCATAAGCTATCTGCCTTGCCTGAAGGGATTGGAAAGTTGGAAAATTTAGAAATGTTGAGGCTAAGATCCTGCACAGAACTGTCGAAGCTTCCAATTTCGATGAAGAACCTTGGAAAGGTAAAATTTCTTGATATATCTGATTGCTTTGGCATCAAGGTGTTGCCCAAAGACATTGGTGAAATGAGTGGTTTAAGAAAGATCAATATGAGACAATGCTCAAAGTTGCAAGAGCTGCCTCCATCAGTCATGGATCTTGAGCAGTTAGAGGAAGTGGTCTGTGATGAACAGACAAAATGTTTATGGGAATCTTTCTTGTCGTGTCTCAACAACGTAAGGATAATTGTGGCGAAAGAGAATATCAACCCAAATTGGCTCCAAAAGACTCAGTTCTGACACGTGTTTCCTCAATGAACGTTGCTCTTAAACCTCTGTGTGGTTTGCGTTTTTTATGGGACATTTTAAACTATGATGTTTAGAAACCTTGGATACTGTCCAGAAAAATGGTTTGGTAGGAAACAAAGGAAATGTTGTGATCCAAAATCAAGAAGGATTTCATGATTTGGGTCAGTTCCTGAACCTCCAATGTTACAGTTGGATTGGATGAGCCTTTGAGGGAGTTGAAGAAGATGGGAAAACCACATTGGCAATGAAGTTATGTCAAGATGAGGAAGTCAAAGGTATGATAATACTTTCTAATTGCTTTTTATATTCTGAAATTCCATATCCCCACTGAGGAAAGTGCCTAACCAAACCAGAAGGGTTATAGTAGAATTAATCTGCAATTTTGACATCTTTTTCTCTCAATTAGAACTAGTAGTATGTTATAGATGTCATTCGTTGAGTTGAAGCCTTTTGTACACTTAACAGCTTCGGTTATATATAACATCAAAGCTAATCCATAAATGGAATATTTCAAATGCTCAAAAATCTTCTGAGAAAGATTTATTTCTCTCTATGCAATCCAAAACAAATATACTTATCAAGGCTTCACAACAAAGTGTGGAAAAGAAATTGTTTTGATCTTTTACAATATGTATGCACATACAGAAGCAAACACCCATTTTACCATAAGATTTTTCTTTAGAACTAAAACTGAAATAAGAATGAAGACGAGTAGGTAGTCATTAACCATTTTCACAAAACCCTTGAGATGTTAAAAGAAACTTGAAATTTCGGTATGCAACTCAGATGGTAAACCTGCAGATACTAAACCTTTGTAAGGGAGTTCCGCTTGCCATTACAGTGACCGGGAAATCACTTTGTGGACAAGCTGCAGAATTCTAGCGATTCAAGACTAGCAGACTGTTGTAAAGGTTCTATTCTTGATTCTAAGACTGAGTTGCTTCTTCGCCTTCAAAGTAGCATAGATTCCTTAGATGGCAAAGAGGCTATCATCAGGGAATGTTTCACAGACCTTGTTTCATTTCCTGAAGATCAAAGAATCTCTGCTGCTGCTTTCATTAATACGTGGGCAGAGTTATATAAGCTAGATGAGGACTTTCTGTTCATTAAGAACCTCCACAAACTCGCCACCAGAGGTCTGGCACATCTTGTGATCACTAGGAAAGCAAGCACATGTATATGTACACACGCAAGTGCACAGACACACACGCTAAGATTTGCACATAAGTTTCATTTAATTTCTGTCCTACTCATATCTGGTAGCATATCGTTTGCAGATGGAAAGTTCTCAACGCAATGGCGGAGTGTTCATCTACCACAAGTTTTGAGGTTCTAGTTTTGAATTTTAAGACAGAGAACAACGCCTTACCTGAATTTGTGCAGAAATTTGACAAACTGAAGTTTCTAATGGTCACAAACTATGGTTTAAATCAGATTAGAGTGCATTTCAATTCATTCCATAACCAAGAACTTCGTTGCATTGAAGAGTAAAGAAGATATCTTTATTCATGTGTAACATGGGTCAAGCTTTCCGCAATTGTTCCATCAAAATTTCAGATGCCTGGCCAGGTATAGAGGAAATGAATATAGACTATTGCCATGATTAGGTGGAACTGCCTACCGAGCTCTATGATCTTGTTCATATGAAGATGCACAATATCACCAACTGTCATAAGCTATCTGCCTTGCCTGAAGAGATCGGAAAGCTGGAGAATTTTGAAGTATTGAGACTAAGGTCTTGTACAGACTTGGTAAGGCTTCCGGTCTCTATTGAGAACCTCACTAAGTTGTGCTGTCTTGACAAGTATAATTTTTTCGGCATTAAGAAATTGACTGAAGGCATTGGTAATATGAGCGGTTTAAGAAAGATCAACATGGGACAACGCTCAAGATTGAAAGAATTTCCTCTGTCAGTGTGGGATCTTCACGAGCAGTTCGAGGAAGTGACTTTGTGATGAAGAGAAGAAGCGTTTGTAATCCTTCATAGCCAGAGACAAAATCAAGGTGGCAAAAGAAAAAACCAATCTGAATTGGCTCGAAAAGCCTTAGCTGTTAGACCTGTCTTTCCTCGATAAATGTTGGAGCAGCGTTTTTCTGATTTGTGTTGCACTGTTTTCTTTAATTTGTATTTTCTTGTTGGATTTTCTTGTTTGATTTCGTTCTTAGTTCTGTCTAATTTCTAAGTTTCATCACATCAATTTGTAATCAAATTTTCTTGAGTCTTAAGAAATTATGCGTTCTGATGTTATGGTTTTACCCAATATAAATAAGGGAGTTTTAACGAAAAGCCCAACGGTACTGTTCACTTTAACGAAAAACTACATTTTTACACTAAAAAGTTAAACCTGCTACTATTCACTTTACCCTTTATTTTTTCCTTATTATTAAAACTCAAAGTTTTCAAGCCATTTTCATTAGTTTTCTTTATAAACAATGTGTATTATATTTTCTTGGATTATACAAAAAATGTTTTTTTTTACTGCACCTAATATGTAAATTATGCATTTAGTTATATTGACAAGTTTTCCTTTGTTGCTTCCATGGATGATTATATATTGAGATATTCTAAGTTGAGGTATATCATATTTTAATTTAATGACGTTGTTATTGTTGATATCGTTGGTAGATCATCTGCAACCTTAGGTCAAAACCTAAAATTTTTAACCCAGAAAATTTAGATTTTAACCCAAAAACAGCTTTGCTACTCAAACCCTTATGGGTTAAATTTTTAGCCCGAGATTAAGAATGAATTTTGGCTAATTTTTTTAAAATAACTTTTAGAAAAAAAAATTAAGTAGACTATCATAATTTAATTTTAAGAACATTTTAACCTAAAAATATTTAGATGAAAAAAAAAAAACTAAATCGACACCATGAAACTCATGAACACTATGAAAGAATATGAAACACATGATAGAGATGTATAAAACACATGAAACACATATAAAACACATGAAACACATATAAAACACATGATAAAGATGTATGACACACGAAACACATACAAAATACATATGAAACACATGAAACACAAACCTACCCACACCATATTCTTCAATCATTCTCTATATAAGCATAGGTTGAATACCTAACCATCACATAACATATTCACCAATCATCCATCTTTCATAGTGTTTATGTTTTCTCAAAATCATCCAACTTTCATAGTGTTTTTATTTCCTCGAATTATCAATGTGTTATAGAAAAAAGCGTAGCCTGACATTGCAAATGGCAAGTAAACATTGCAGTTAAGGAAGAAGAAATCAACAATGAAGAAATCGAATTTGCAAACTCACTTATGCAAAATAGGCAACATGCCAAATCTAGCTTTCATGGTTCTGTCACAATTCGTTCATTTGTGCAGCGTGACAGGGAAAAGTGCCATGACCGGATGATAAAAGACTATTTCATTGAATGTCTGAGATATCATTCTCATGATTTTTGGAGGTGGTATCGGATGAGGAGAGAGCTTTTTAAAAGTATTTTGAATGCAGTTGCCCACCATGACGACTACTTTGCAATGAAGATAGATGTCTTAGGCTGACAGGTCTCACTGCTATTGGGTGTTTTGCAACATTGACAAATATTGTCGATTTGTAAAGATCACTGCTATTGAGAACCTCAAGCACTTCTGTAAGACAATTGAAGTCATATATGGACAAACATACCTCTGAAAGCCAAATCGTGAAGACTTGAAGAGGTTTCTACGTAAGGCAAACAAAAGAGACTTCTCTGGAATGATAGGAAGTCTCAATTGTATGCATTGGGAGTGGAAGAATTGTCAAATTTCTTGAGCATGCCAATTTAAAGGTCTTCACAACAAAACAACCATTGTGATTGAGGTTGTGACATCTTACGACACTTGGATTTGACATGCATTCTTCGACACCTTTGGATCAAACAATGATATCAATGTTATTTGGTCTTCTCCCTGTTTGAAGATGTTGTCTATGGATGGCAACCGGAATGGAGGTACAAGGTAAATGATAATAGATATGAGCTAGGTTGCTACTGAACTGATAATATTTATCTTAGTTGGTCTACCTTTTGAAAAGTTATTCTCGTTCCGATAGTGCAAAGATGAAATTGTTTTTGTGGAAATAAGAGTCTTACAGGAAATATGAGAGAGCGTTCGGATCCTACAAACTCGATGGGTCATTGTTGGAGGGGTTGCACGATTCTGGAGTATGAAAGACCTCAATTCAATCATGATGACATGCATAATTTTGCATAACATGATTGTTGAAGATGAATACGTAGAAATTGAAGAAGATTCTGATGAAGATGTGGATGGCGACCAACCAATATATGCTAAGGCTATGGCAAGAGACGTTGAATATCTCGCTGCAACCACATACAAGACCTAAGAGGATGGGGTCACACTGAGTGAGTACATGAGATGTCTTGCTAGAAGGAGATTTGTTGAGCATATATGGCATTGAGAAGGAGAACGGTGATGATAAAATGTAACAAATGATAATTAATAAACTTTGTTGGTACCACACATATTGGGCCTCATTACCCAGCCCATAATTATGTAAAAGGAGGAGCCCTTTATTTTATAAAAGGGGACTCCTCATCCCTCACAAATCAGACTTTGGGATACTTCCAAAACATACAAGTCTCAAACAACTCAGAGACAACACTCTGTTCCTAGAGGGACTCCCCTTGAGCTTGTAATCCATACATACAGTTACAGAGAAATACAAGCAACATCAGTGTGGACGTAGCCCAAACATTGGGGTGAACCACAATACATCTTTGTGTTCTTGGGCGATTGCATGATTCACGGTCGGATTTACGTTGTTCAAAGACCTTCCGTTTTGTGCATCAACAAACTACATATAAATTAATGCAACAATTACTAATCGCAATAATATTGACCATCTTGACTTGTTGGTGGATTTGATGGTGAACTTGGGATATATGCTTGATATGAATTATCATCTTGAAAGATACTCTTTGTGCCATTCTTTCGCATAATTTCCTTTTGTTTATCATAGGAGAACTTCTTAATATTTGGAGTTTATTTGTTGAGGTTTTCCCTCATCATATCAAAATCGAATCTTTCTTGCTCCATTTCCGATTGCTTCTCAAAGGCCAATCACATTTGCATCACTTCCTCCTCTCGAGAGTCTTGGCGTCTAGACAATTTTGCAAACCGGAAGAAATCGTTGCACCAATTGGATATTGCATCTTCCCTTTTCTCTTTGCTTATTTTTGCTTATTTCTTCCCGGAGGCCTTGGAAAAGAAGAAGTTGGGATCCTTCATTACCAACATTTGTGCTTGCGTCTTCACTAGCAAATAATTTTTCTCGTTGTTGATCCGCATGGGTTCCTTATCTCGGACAATCCTTGAGGATGTCCCAAGCATGATTCACCACTTCTACGGTGCTCCTTCCACTAGCCATGTCAACCACAACTCTCTCAAAGCTTCCCTTCCATAAAGTGCAATTTTTGTTGATAACCTTCCACCAATAGTAAACACTCCCAACTTCCCCTTGATTGGTATTGGAGTTTTCATTGAGCTTATCAACAATTTTATCCCACAAATCCTTTTTAATTTGATTCGTGTTAACGGCATCATCTTCGCTAATACAAACTCATGTCAAGCACAAAGCAACTTCTTCCTCATTTTACCAATTACGACCTCCAATATGATCTTTTGTCATCTTGAAAATTTTGGAAATGATTTCAGATGATTGTAGAAAGAAAAATTGGAAGAATTGTAGGAGAAAAGTAAATTTTGTGTGGATGTTTAAACAAATACGTAAGTATTTATAAAGTTTTTGGATAAATTTTGACTCAAAGAATTTTTTTTTAATTATTTTAGCTGTTAGATTCAAATTTGAACCATTGCAGTTTTTTATTGTTGAATTTGATCATATTAAATCTCAACTATTGAAATCAATAAATTTATAAATATAAAACTAAAAAATAAAATAAAATTTGAACTTGGACGGTTGTATCAACCAACAATCCAATGAATCATTGTTGTTGGATGAAAGAAAGAGTCGTTGGACTCAGCTGGGCACGCGTTTCGTGCGTGCGGCACGTCTCGGTTTACGCGGTTGGCCAATTTAGGACGCGTCCACGCGCATATGTGAGACCCTCCAAGGGTTGGAATGAAAATAAAGAGGGGAAATACAGGCTAAATTTTGAGATTTACCCCCAAAGATTAGAGGGAGTGCAATTAAGCTCTCTATGCTGTTGTCGCCTTTCGAAACTTGCCTACACAATTTAATAGGATAAGAAGAAATACTTTCTGAGAAAAATACAATTGTGGTCGCCACCATCTACCTGCAACATGGTTGTTGGATTATCTCTTTCGCTCTCGCCACGAAGCTTCCCAGACATGGTGATGCAGTTTCCTGGTTAATTTCCAAGTCTCCCTCCACACTCAATCAGCTATTGCTAAAGTCAACGCGCTCCAACTCCGAAATTTCTATCGAGCTTCGAAGTAAGTACTTCTATGCCAACTCCCAGATAGTTTGTTTATCCTACCTTGCTTGATCACCAACAACGTAAGAGAATATCCAACTCTGCATTGCTTGTTTTCTGAATCGCTTTATTTTGGGTTCCAAGTTTCTAATCTGTTATTGTTTTGGGAAAGTGGCTCAAATGGTCCGAAATCAAATCTCAAATATCGAAGACATACTGAAAAACTGATCATTTCAGCAGCCAATTTCCCTGTTATTTTCTGTTGTCGTAAATTTTAGATTGAAACTTTTGTAAGTTTTTCTGATTTTGGTGTTGGTTTTTGTTGTTAAGAATCAAGGAATGGGTGGTCTCGGGCTAGCATTCAGTGTGACTGTATGATGTCCTCAAGGAGCTGATCACCAAGAATGTAATGTTTACGCCCCTCCTCAAACGAATCCAATCCAAGTTACACCTTTTGACCCCAGTGTTGAAAAATATAGAAGAATCCAACAAGAAATTGGATCTTCCGGTTGAGGAGCTGGAAAAGTTAAAAGTACATTTGGAGGAGGGCATACAGCTCCTTCCGAAGTGCGAAAAGACTCCATGGTGGAGCGGAGCCAAAAGGTACAAATACCACAACAAGCTGATTGAATGGGATGAATATCCTCAACAACATTTGGAAATACTAAAAGTTCAGGGAATAAGGGATGTGAAGGACATTGCAGTTACGGTGAAGATTATAGAGGAGGCGGTCGGAAGAATTGAATTGAATCAGGTGATCCCAAAACAACTCGATTGTGAAGCCTTCTGCACAACAAGGAATACATAAATACAATTAGTTGGAAAATAAGATTTTGACACTCACCACTTCTACGACGCTCCTACCACTAGCCATGTCAATCACAACTCTCCCCACGCATCCCTTCTATAAAGTCCATGCTTTGTTGATAACCTTCCATAGATTGTAAACACTACCAACTTCTTTTCGGTTGGTATTGGAGTTTTCATTGAACTTATTAACGACCTTAACCCACAAAACCTTTTCAATTTGATTCGCGTCAACGACACTATCTTCGCTAATACAAATCCATGGCAAAGCACAAAGTAACTTCTTCCTCATTTTACCAATTACGACTTCTAATATGAACTTTTACCGTCTTGAAAAATTTGGAAATTGGAAGAAATGATTTAGAAGGATGGTAAAAAGAAAAACAGGAAGAATTGTAGGAGAAAAGTGAATTTTGTGTAGATGTTTAAATAAATACATAGGTATTTATAGAATTTTTAGATGAATTTTGATTTAAAGATTTTTTTTTAAAATTATTTTAATCTTTGAATTTAAATTTGTACCGTTTAGTTTTTTTTAACTTTAGATTTGATTATATTAAATCTCAGCCGTTGAAATCAATGATTTATAAATATAAAATAAAAAAATAAAATAAAATTTGATCTTGAATCGTTGGATCAACCATCAATCCAATGAATCACTGGCGTTGGATGAAAGAATGAGTAATTGGGGTCAGTTGGGTGGCTGACGGACCCTTGTCCGCAGGATCCTCCCGACTTGCACGCGTTCCGTGCGCGCGTGCGCGCGTTCCAATTCACGGCTTGTCCACGCGCATATCCGTGTGGTGGCCGACCGTAAGTGCAATTAGCTGCAAGTAGGAGGAATTGTTAAATATTAGTCATATATTGCTCATTGGCTCTCTATGCTGTTGTCGCCTTTCGAAACTTGCCTTCACAATTTAATACGATAAGAAGCAATACTTTCTGAGAAAGATACAATTCTGGTCGCCATCTGCCTGCAATATGGTTGTTGGATTATCTCTTTCGCTCTCGCCACGAAGTTTCCCAGGCATGGTGATGCAGTTTCCTGGTTAATTTCCAAGTCTCCCTCCACACTCAATCGGCTATTGCTAAAGTCAACGCGCTCCAACTCCGAAATTTCTATCGAGCTTCGAAGTAAGTATTTCTATGCCAACTCCCAGATAGTTTGTTTATCCTATCTTGCTTGATCACCAACAACGTAAGAGAATATCCAACTCTGTATTGCTTGTTTTCTGAATCGCTTTATTTTGGGTTCCAAGTTTCTAATCTGTTGTTGTTTTGGGAAAGTGGCTCAAATGGTCCGAAATCAAATCTCAAATATCGAAGACATACTGAAAAACTGATCATTTCATCAGCCGATTTCCCTGTTATTTTCTGTTGTCGTAAATTTTAGGTTGAAACTTTTGTAAGTTTTTCTGATTTTGGTGTAGGTTTTTGTTGTTAAGAATCAAGGAATGAGTGGAGCAGGCAGCCTTTTCGGAGGGGCTGGTCTCGGAACACTAGTCAATGCGCTGTACGATGTCCTCAAGGAGCTGATCACCAAGAATGTAATGTTTAAGCCCCTACTCAAAAACATCAAATTCAGGTTAGACTCTTTGGAACCATTGTTGAAAGATATAGAAAGATCCAACAAGAAATTGGACCTGTCGGATAAGGAACTGAGAAACTTGAAACTACATTTGGAGGAGGGCATACATCTCGTCCAAAAGTGCAAAAAGATTCGATGGTGGAGCGTATTAGTATACAAAAGGTACAAGTACGCCAACAAGCTGATTGAATGGGATGCATCTCTTCAACGACTTTTGGACATGCTAAAAGTTCAGGGAATAAGGGATGTGAAGGACAACGCGGTTACGGTGAAGAATGTAGAGGAGGCGGTCATCAGAATTGAATCGAATATGGTGATACCAAAACAACCCGACAGTGAAGCTTGGTGTGCCGTACCTCAACTTCCGCCGCTCGTGGTTGGATTGGATTTTCCTCTAAAGGAACTGAAGAGGAAGCTTCTAAAGGACAAAAATGTGTCAATGGTTGTGCTGACTGCTCCTGGAGGATGTGGGAAAACCACTTTGGCTACAAAGTTTTGTCAAGACAAGGATATCAAAGGTATCATATATTATAAGTTAGCACTCTGAATTGTTTATGTTTTTTTACTTTGTACAACTATGGCAGATTTAAATGACGCCTCAATGACTGATTTATTATGTTTTCTCTGGATAGATGCATTCAAGGATAACATCTTCTTTGTCACGGTTTCAAAAAAGCCTAAATTAGAAAATATTGTTCAAGATCTTTATATCAACGCAAGGGTTTCCAAGCACCTACTTTCCAAAACGAAGTTAGTACAGCGACGTGGCTGCAACGTTTTCTGAAGGAAGAAGGGCAGAATCCTTTACTGATTGTCCTGGATGATGTTTGGCCTGGATCAGAATCCCTTGTGGAGAAGTTTGATCAATTCAAAACGGAAAATTACAAGTTTTTGGTGACATCTAGGTCTGAATTTCGGGGATATGGTTCCCCTTATTATTTGCAATCATTGGATCATGACAATGCGATGAAACTTTTTCATCATTCAGCATCCCTTGGAGATAAGAGCTCTCATATTCCAAAAGATCTTCCAGAAAAGGTACATTTTAGTTGCAACGCACGTGTATGGTAAAAAATTAGTTGATTTGGTTTTGGAGAATTATCAAGAAATTATGTTCACCTTACGCAAAGCATCCACAATTGAGCGAATGAACACATCCATTTACCATATAAACCTGTGAGTAGTCATGCATCTAAGCATACTTACTTGTCGACTAAAACTAAAATTAGAATACTGTATATAGTTATTTAGCCATTTTCTCTCATCTTAGTAACTTGAATTTTGGCTCTGCAACTTAAAAGTTAGTTGATTTTGTTTTGGAAAATTATCCTGCAGATAGTTGAGCGTTGCAAGGGATTTCCACTTGCTATTACAGTGGTGGGGAGATCGCTTAGTGGGGAGCCTATAGAGATATGGCAAAAAAGAGAACTTGAATTGTCTAAAGGTTTTTCTATTCTTGATTCAGAGACTGAATTGCTGCTCTGCCTTGAACGAAGCTTGGATGCCTTAGATAAAGAAATCATCAAGGAATGTTTCTTAGACTTAGGTTCATTTCCAGAAGACCAAAGAATCGCTGCAGCTGCCCTTGTTGATATCTGGGCAGAGTTATATGATGTAGATACAGATATAGAGTGCATTGCAAACATCTACGAGCTCACCAAACGAAGTCTAGCTAATCTTGTTGTCACAAGGTGTGCATGTTTTATTTTCTCTTGTATGATATTTTCGCTCGATTTTCCCCTTTATTCATGACCGATTGATCGAAGCTCTTCTAAGAAAATTAGTTTTGATCATCACCAGGAAGGACAAGATGGAGGGGGACGGGTATTATAGTGAGCACTTTGTTACCCAGCATGATGTTCTTAGGGAACTGGCCATCTATGACACAAAAAAAGGACCGGTAGAACATAGAAAAAGACTGATTATTGACATATGTGGAGACAAACTTCCAAAATGGTGGAGAGAACAGAAGCAGATGAAGGCCCGCTTATTATCTATAACAACTGGTTGTTCTATCTCTCCCTTTCGCTTTAGCAATTACGTAGACATGCACAAATAAATATTCATTCCACACGCACGTGTGTGTGCACATTAAGTCTTAATAATACTTTCATTTAGTTTCTCCTCCCCACACTCACAGTTGTTACTTTGCAGATGAAGGGTTTTCAACAAAATGGCACAACTTGCAAATGCCAGAAGCTGAGGTTTTAGTATTGAATTTACAGACAAAGAACTATGCTTTACCCGATTCCGTGGTGAACATGGGTGAATTGAAGGCTGTGATAGTCACAAATTATGGTTTCTTACCAGCTGAATTGAGTAACTTCCAACTTTTGAGTTCATTACCAAATCTTAAGAGAATTAGATTAGAACGCATCTCAATTCCTTCCATAACCAAGAATCCCATTCAATTGGTGAGTCTGAAGAAGATATCCATGTTCATGTGTAACATTGGTCAAGCTTTCAACAACTGTTCCATCTCAATCTCATCAGCATTCCCGAATCTCTAGAGGAAATGAACATCGACTATTGCAGTGATTTAATTGAATTGCCCGTGGAGGTTTGTGATCTTAGTAAACTAAGGAAGCTCAATGTTACTAACTGTCATAAGCTATCTGCCTTGCCTGAAGAGATTGGAAAGTTGGAAAATTTAGAACTGTTGAGGCTAAGATCCTGCTCAGAACTGTCGAAGCTTCCAACCTCAATGAAGAACCTTGGAAAGGCAAACTTTCTTGACATATCTGATTGCTTCAGCATCAAGGTGTTGCCCGAAGACATTGGTGAAATGAGTAGTTTAAGAAAGATCAACATGAGACAATGCTCAAGGTTGCAAGAGCTGCCTCCATCAGTCATGGATCTTGAGCAGTTAGAGGAAGTGGTCTGTGATGAAGAGACAAAATATTTATGGGAAGCCTTCTCACCGTTTCTCAGCAACGTAAGGATAACTGTGGCCAAAGAGAATATGAACCTAAATTGGCTCCACAAGACTCGGTTCTGATCTTGTGTTTCCTCAGTGAACGCTGCTCTTCAAACTCTCTGTCGTTTGTGTTTTAAGTGTGTGATGCAGATCAGTTGGCCAGTGCATTTATTGAATCAATGGGATAAAATGAATGACTATAACTAATCAGAAGAACTTAATAACAGCCATTAGTAGGTCCTAATAATAGCCAGGTTGTTTTGGACCTTTTTTGGCTGATTGGATTGCTTTCTATATGTAAATTTCAGTTTTTTTTTGTCATTTTAAGTTTCTATTAAATTTTGAATGTAAGTTACAAAATGGTTATAAAAACCGTTTCTTTCTGTAAGATAAGGAGTTGGACGTTTTTTTTATTATGAAAATACTCTGAGTGTTTATCTGTTTCAGTTTTGTGCCTTTTTCTTTGTGAGATTGTTTAGCTTTTGTTTTTACTCTTTACGTTGTAGGCTGGTACTAAAATCAAAGTTTATAGGGTTTTCAGGCCTCTCCTCGCACAAGGAGATAGTGGACTCTACCTATCAATCTTATCTATTATTTTATTTTGTTTCTATCCGATGTGCCCTGCGTCAATTTGTATCAAAGCCCTAATTGATTCTTGGGTTATCATGTTGCTATTGTTAGGTTATTACGAAATCGATAATTTAGTCGATTGGAGTTCTCTACCAATTTATGATGAGTATGATGAAGGTTACACGCTTATGATTAAAGTAGCTAATGAAATTCAATTTACTCGGTAAATCGATGCTCATTTTGTTGCCGATTGGGATTCTGCCTTGATTCTAGATGAATGCAATGGTGATGAAGATTTGGGTTCAATGGTTTAGGTACTTGCGGTAAAAATATGTTCTACATTTCTGTGACTTTTATGATTATATTTGGGAATCGTTCATTGCTTATCACGATACAAAATTTTACTTGGAGAAAAGAATTTTTTTATATTGTTCGAATTATGTCTACCCTTTTCAAAGTTAAAAATATCAAGATGTTTGCTAGAAATTGTATGTGCACTCAAATGCAATTTATCGTAATTATAATCATATTATTGTGATGAAACATCCACAATAATTAGCCTAAAAAAGATTTGTCTAAGTCACTTCCTTTCTTTTTGTCAAAGTTACTTCTTTTTTTGTCCAAGTTTCTTCTCTTTTTTTTGTCTAACTCAAATGGTGGATATGCAAGCATGATAACATATATGATGTTCTATATCTTCATGAATCTAATGTTATCAAGAAAAGATTAAATTCCAAACGGAACATGAGAAAGTGGAGAAGTTGTTTGAATTGTCATATTGATGTTTGAGTTGTAAACTCGTTTTTATTGCCTTTCTCTTGTTTAAGAGTCTACATCTTTGTTCTTTTAGTGTCTACGTTGTAGGCAGGTACTAGAACCAAAGTTCGTAGGGTTTTTAGGTCTCTCCTTGCACTAGGAGATACTGGACCCTAACTATCCATTCTATCTATCATTTTAATTCATTTATGTCCATTGCGCCCTGCATCAGTTGGTATGAAGAAGGTGCTTTAATACAAATGGCTGATAAGATTAATTTCAAGACATTTTTTATGGCTAATCATAATAGCCAGTGTGTTTTTTATGGCTGATAATAGCCTTTGTTTATGTAATTTTTAGTTTCAGGTGTTTTTATGTTGGGTTGTTTTATTAACACCCACATCTTTATGAATACACCCCACATCTAAAATGTGCCTCTAAAATTCTAGATTTGTCCCCCATTTTTCTGAAGCCCTCCCATCCCCATAAACAAATGACAGCAATAAAGCTAGCTCGACGGCCATAGGCCACCCATATAAGAGGTATCTGCATCAATATCAGCACAGCCAAAAACCCCCCATGTAGCAGAAGTTGACAGTCAAGATCGACTCTCTAATAGACCGAGAGAGAGAGAGAGAGAGAGAGCATGGTGAGGGGCTAAGATTTTTTGCCCAGACACTGTGGAGGTTGACAGTCGACATAAGGGGGTGGATGGGGTTTATTTGTACTTCAGAACTTAATTCGAGGGTAAAAATGGAAATTTAACTGAAAAAATAAATTATGGGGTGTATTCATAAGATTGTGGGGTGTTAATAAAATTACCCTTTCATGTTTATTGCCTTTTTAATTTCTGAATGTAAGTTACAAAATGGTTATACAAACCATTTCTTTCTGTAAGATGAAGGAGTTGGATGTTTTTGTTGGTGAATGAAATATTCAGAGAGATTTCTATCTCATATTTGTGCCGTTCTCTTGTTTAAGAGTTTGCTGCTTTGTTCTTTCTAGTGTCTACGTTGTAGCGGCTGGTACTAGAACAAAAGTTTATAGGGTTTTTAGGCCTCTCCTCACACTATGAGATAATGGACCCTACCTATCAATCATATATATCATTTTATTTCGTTTCTATTCGCGACGCCCTGCATTAGTGTGACTTTTTAAACTCAATTGTAACATAGTTTCAAATTCCCCTGTACACAGTTTCTTGACTATTTTGTTTGAAAATATGTATGTGTAATCCAACACCACAATTTGATTCATGCTCTCCCAAAATAAAATGTTGAAAAAAAAAATGAATCCAAAAAAAAGGTTGAAGAGTCTCCATAAGATATAAGAACTTTCATGTCACAAAGTTTGGTGTTAATTTCATTGTAAATTTCTCTAGTATCTATACTCACATCTACCGGTTAAGTTTCCAAAACTGTTCATATATAATCTAGATTGATTATATATTGCGATGAATCGGTCTCAAACTATGTTTTCCATCAAATACAGCTCGATTAGTCTCGTTCAATGTTAATTGTTGAAATAAAGAAAGAAAGGCTCATATTTTCTTACCTGTAAAAGTTGTTGTAATGATATATTTAAAAAAAAAAAAAAACGATAGGCTTTGGACATATAAGTCGTTGGAAAAGTAGATTATGAATAACATTATACTTTATAAGAAAATACACAAATTGAATACTTTAGAAAATGAATAACATCTATTATACTTTAGAGGAAAATACACAAATTTAATACTTTGTAGTGGAGAATGGCGCATTTCGCAACTAAGAATTAATTAGAGCATGTCAATACTTAAAAAAAAATTACTTGGCTTTGTAATGGGAAGGGCACTAAGGAATTTCACAGCTAGGAATTAGTTAGAGCGTGACAATTAGGTAAATGAGGAGGTTCTTTTCTCCAATTCAGCTCTTGGAGTATTTTTATATAAAACTTATAGTTATGGAACAAATAATTGTACATTATAAAAGATAGCTAATATTTTCAATAAAAAAAAGCTGATTTTCATTAAACAACGTTGAACCTTTTGTGTATATTCTATGAAAACATAAGGGAATTATACTATAGTCTCCTCAAATAAAATTCTCAGCTTTGTCATTTTTCGTTAACTTATAATTCACGCAAACAAGATCAATTTATCAGTGACAAATATGAAACGCATAAATGAGATCAATTCGTATGCACATTAAACATGACAGAGCTCATGTGAGTAGGAAAGCATATAATTTCCACATATTTTCAAAGCATATGCAAAACTAAAGAAGAAAATTATATGTTCTTAGGAAAGAAATTATACTTACAAGACACAAAAAGTATATTAATAAACATTGAAATTTTTGTGCATATTCTATGAAAAAAATAAGGAAATTATACTATTTCCTCACATGAAATTTCAACACTGTCGTGAACTTGTGATACACACTACAATGGGATAAATTCTTCAATGAACTTTTGATACATGTAAATGAGACATATTCGTAAGTTTATTGAATATGATGAAGCTCATGTGAGTAGGGTCAGAATACAATTTCCTTGTATTTTCATAGCATATGCACAAAATATTAATGTTGAAAAATAAGTTTTTTTTTATAAAAATGTATATAAGTATAATATTTTCTCATCTTCTAGTACAAGTTCGGTGCATATTCTACAAAACCAAAAATAAAAAATAAAATAAAAACTTGCATTAAGCCTATGAATTTTTTTTTTCTCAACATTAAGCCTATGAATTCACTCACAATAAAATAGAAAACGTTTTGTGATAAATGTAGACGTAGTCATATTTAGCTAGAACAAATATATTTTTCCCTTAACACCAATTTTTGTGCATATTCTACAAAAATATAAGAAAATTATATTTATCAATGAATGTATTGTACACATAAATGAGATCAATTCATAAGTGCATTGAACATGACAGCCTATGTGAGTAGGGAAGCGTATAATTTCCTTATGTTTTCTCAGCATGTGCACAAATTTTTTTTTAATGTCGTTGAATAACTTTTTATTTATATATGAGTCTAGTTTATCATCTTCTATTATACCAACAGGAAACCATATAGTCAGGGGCATAGGTATTCGGATTAAGGTCGTCCTAGGATTATTTGGAGTTCGAAAAATACACATGTGAATGTCTTCTGATTATTCTTCAAATGTTTGGTATGAGTCTCTTTTGTGCCCACCAAGTGTTTGATAAAATATTTGCTAGCATATCTCGATATTGCATCGACATCACTCAACAAATTCTCTTAAGATCACTTATCAGATTGTTTTGGCATATATCAATATATGTTGATATGTGTGCAACATAGTTTGGTTCTTTTAGAAGCTATATACTTGATTGTATGAACAATAAAGTCATTGCACGATTTAAATTAAAACCTCATAAAGAAAATTATACTTTTTAGGAAATAAAATTAGACTACAAGACCTACAAAATTTACTAATCAACATTGAAAACTGTTGTGCATATTCCATGAAAACATAATAAAATAATACTATAGTTTCTCGTAGAAATTCTTAACTCTGTCATTTTTTTTGAAGTTGTGAAACGCATTAAATGGGCGAATTCTTTTTTGTGGGCAAACTTCATGAAAACAATTCCTAAGTTTAAATAAAAGGAAAACTAATGAAAATTATTTTAAAACTTTGAATTTTAATGATAAGAACAAAATAAAGGGTAAGGTGAATAGTATCATGATTGATTTTTTAGTGTAAAAATATGGTTTTTCGTTAAAGTGAACAGTACCGTAATT